GTTCTTGCGTGAGACAATGAGACAGTGCATGATGAAACAACAAGGTGATTATCTTGATGTTGACATAACACTAAGTTATCTGTACGGTCTCAAACAAGCTCCTAGTAAATAAGAAGAACAAAACCGCGAAAATTTTTAGAAACATAATAGTTGGATCTATCGAAAAGTGGAGAGATGAAAGGCGAAGGCAATGACATGGATGCCACCAATTTATGGGTAGTCCACTAGGGCCATCCTATCTTCTGTGCCCCCCAACTATTATTCAATCTATATGCTCTCTTCGGGACCCCTTTTTTTTCATGCGGTAGCTAGGGAAAAAAGAAAATTCATCTTTGCTTGTGAGTATGACAACTTTGCACTAAGTAGTGGCCGGTGAATGGATTGCATTCTTTTCTTCATTTTCTTAATTTGATGTCAAAGCTATCAAGTGCTTGTTTGATTCACCTAGATGGTAAAAATTGATCCAAGTACATACTTTTGATTGGTACTTCTTTGTACTAGAAAACATCTCATCATATTACTTACCATATTCTATTAAGATTTGAAGGAAGTTTTACGCAAAGTAGGGAAGTGAAGGAAGTTTTACGCAAAGTAGGGAAGTGAGAGAGGATTTAGGAGTTCGTCTGGATTTCAAAGAAAAAGGTAAGCGCCTCATAATTGGCCAAGGTCAAAAGGCTTTAAATTTATAACAATTCTGCCTTTATATTGCTATTTTGGTTGCTGTAAACCACTTATCAGATTTGGCTCTAGGGTTCAGGAAGAGACACCATCACTTTGCTTTTCCGTGTCAACCGAAGATGCCAAAGCAAATTCAAGAGAATATGCACGTGTGTTTGTTGGCACAAAAAACAAAAAAAAAGTACACATGGGCTATATATGAAGACTCCAAATAACCACACTATTTATCTTTCATTACCGATGTAAATGAAGGCTTGTCAATGTTGACATGTACCTCAGTTATCAGCAGTTTATACTGCTTTCTCCCCTGTTACACAAATGGTTCCCTGGCTTACTGCTGGTTGTCATGACCAATAACTGGTAACCATAAAATCAATTTTCAACAAGGAGCCATGAAAATGTTAAAGATTTAATGCACTTAGACAATATATTCTAAAATTCGATCAATAATTTTAGCTTGTGGAAGTGTTAAGCACATCTGCCAAAAATTCCAACTAACTTTCTTCTGCTAAAATATCTCCAAATAACTGTTGTGCGCGGCGGAACAAACACAAACGCCGAGAGAGAAAGCTAAAACAATCCAAAATAACGGCACCAACTCAAACATAAAAGTTTAACATGGTTCGGCAAATTGCCTACGTCCACGGGGCAAGAAGGGATGAGTTTCCACTATAGAGAAAGAGAGTACAAAGTAGAGATTACAAGATCACTCAACTAACCTCTCAAACAAATCTCTCAAACTAAACCCTCAAACAATTTGCTCAGAAAGATCTCTCTTTTCTGTGCTCAAAATCACCTTCAAGCTACCCAATCAATCGATAGAAAATCCTAAAAACGTGGCTCTATTTGTAACAAAACACAATCCCAAACAGATTAGGATTCTAAAAACGACTCTGTCACACCCTGGTGTGGCACACACCATACCCATGACAAACAGGGCAAATTCTGCCACACCCTGCCACCCGGGTGTGGCAGACATCACACCAGGGTGTGGTGGAGTCTGTCTTGCTTATTTTTTCATATTTTTCTCAATTCTTTTCCTCAATTCCTTCGCCGTTTTCACAATTCTCCATATCGGCGAAGTTTTTCCAAAACTGAGCCGACACTAACCAAATCAAACGTCTTACTTGTTGCGTCCAGTACGAAGTGGAACAAAACCACGACAACGGACTCAATCCACAACAAGTCGAGACCCAAACAAGAATGCAAACACTCTCCAAATATCTGTACCAACTCACCAAACCGGCTGCATCAAATTGACAGCCTACGTACCCCCTCTCCCAAGGGATCAAGCCACCCGTAGTTTATCAAACAGCCTCCAAAGGCCCTCAATCAAATAGAAAAATTTGTAACTCTTCACCAACATCACTAACAGATCTGCAACTAATGACGCTCTCAATGGCCCCAAAGTGAAACAAATCAAACACCTCCACCTGAGGTGAACCAATGACTGTATCAAAATCACATCCACCAGCTGCATTCGAATCAACCAACTCATTATCTGCACTCAAATCCAAATGATCACCTAACTGTGTCACCTCAGCTGGAATCCCAAACAATGCAGAATGATCTGGAGTATGTGAAGTAATCTTCACCCAATGTGGAGTAGCATCAATCTCCATCCGTTGCGATACATCTAAGGTCTGTCCAAAATTCTCCACCTGCTGAGAGTCAATTAGCTCCCTCATCGAAGCCTCAAGCGAAGTGACACTATCAGACCAAACATCCAATGGAGTTTTACCTCCAATCGTAGCAGTCGACAACCTATGACCAAGATGACACAAATATGTCAAAACCTCAATACCAGAATCAATGCTCGACATCAAACGTCGGTCCTCCTCTAACATGGAACAGCTCACCAAATCTGCCATCTTATCTTGTTGTTCCAAGATTTCCTTTCCACCAAAGTGTCTCAAAATGTCGTGAGCTCGGCTCGAATGAAAAAACAGGTCCCTCTTGTACCTCCCACCAAAATCAGAATAAAGTACATTCACATTTCTGCCAATCTCACACTTCTTCAATCTGTTGGAGACTACTAGGACTTTATCCAAAGGGGATTTGGTTGCAACCCAAACACGACTAGAACAGCTACCAACAAAGGAAACCAAACATCTATTACCTCCCAATGACGCCTTCTTAGAAGGCCCCTAAACATCTGTGTGAACTCTACCTAAAAGACCCTTAGTACGGTGAATAGAGGTGCCAAACTTTACCTCGGTCTTCTTGCTCACATCAAAGTGTTTATTGGACTTCAAATTGTAGGTCTGTGCACCCATCTCCAAATCAATACTGGAATGACTAAGCTCCAAATACCGCAGTCTAGTCGAATCAACATAAGTCGTCAGCTCTCTACCTGTCACCGAACTTCCAATCAAATAGTACATGTTATTCCTCCTGACGCCCTTCATCACAATTAAAGAGTCTTCCACGATCTTGAGAACCATGTCCTCAACACGAACCTTCAAACCCTCTCCAACCAAAGCTCCATTTGAGATCAAGTTCTTCCTCAAGGAAAGAACATATCTCACACTATATAACTCCCTACCTGTCCCGTCAAACATCTTGATGCGAATTCTTCTTATCCCAAGGATCTGGCATGCACGATTGTCACTCATGTATACCATACCACTATCCAGCTTCTCAAAACTGGAGAACTATTCCTTTCTAGGACACGCATGATAGGTCGCATCACTATCCAACATCCACTCGGATTACTCTGAATAGCTACCCGTAGGACTGATAGAAAGCGAATAAATAGAAGTATCAGAAATATTACCATTCAATATAATGATGTTTGTTTCTGATGATGGTTGCTTTCCTTTTCCCTTCTGCTTATTCTTCATCCATTCGTCGAGCTTTGGATAATCTTTCTTCCAATGACCAGTCTCCTTGCACCAAGCACACTGATATTTTCTAACTGTAGGATGCCCTACTCTAGACTGTGATTTCCAATTCTTTCGGTTTGAATTTTTCCCTCTTGCAACCAACGCCTCCGCTACTATATCACTTATAGACTCATTATCTTTCTTTCGAAGCTGATAGTTCACAAGTGCAGCGGTAACCTTACTATACGAAAGAGATACCTTCCTATTGATAAGAGTAAGGACAAAAGTCTCATATTCCTCGTCAGGCAAGGAACTCAACAACAACAATGTTTTGTCCTCATCTTCAATCATAACATCTACATTCGTCAAATCCGTAAAAAACTTCGTGTAGTGGTTCATGTGATCACCAATGGATGGTCCTTTCTTTAATTAGAAGCGATAAAGTATCCTCTTCAAATGCAAGTGATTCTCCACACTCTTGATCAAATACTTGCTCTCAAGGATCTCACAAATCTTCTTAGCTGAAGTTTCATTGATCACATCATACTTTAAATCTTGAATCAAACAAGACCTAATCATACCACACGCCGTTCGATTCATCTTCTTCCAAACCCTCTCATCAATTTCATCTGGCTTGTCATCCAATTCCAAAGTATCTTTTAAATTTTGCGCGTTGAGCGCATCCAAGACATCACATCGCTAAAGTTTAAAATTGTTAGTGTCATTAAACTTCTCTACGTCTATCTTCATAGAGTGAATATTAAAATTTTGGACGGTGTTCACACCTAAAGTATCCTCCATAATTCCTTTTTTCCCGATCATAATTCCTCAAAGCACCAACAACCAAAGCGGAACAAACGAATAATAGATCCAAAACTAAGAAAAGATAGAATTTTTACCAAAAAGATATCCCAACTTTAACTTCAAACGAATCCCTAGCCGAACTTCCAGAGTGAGCTACTCCTCCAAATAGCCCAAACGTAACCTGAGCTCTGATATCACTTGTTGTACGCGGCGGAACAAACACAAACATCGAGAGAGAAAGCCAAAACAATCCAAAATAATGGTACCAACTCAAACACAAAAATTTAACGTTGTTCGGCAAATTGCCTACATCCACGGGGCAAAAAGGGATGAGTTTCCACTATAGAGAGAGAGTACAAAGTAGAGATAACAAGATTACTCAACTAACCTCTCAAACAAATCTCTCAAACTAAACCCTCAAACAAATTGCTCAGAAAGATCTCTCTTTTCTGTGCTCAAACCCACCTTCAAGCTACCCAATCAATCGATAGAAAACCCTAAAAAACATGGCTCTATTTATAACAAAACACAATCCCAAACAGATTAGGGTTCTAAAAACGAGTATGTCACATCCTCGTGTGGCACACACCACACCCATGGCAAACAGGACAAATTCTGTCACACCCTGCCACCTGGGTGTGGCAGACACCACACCAGGGTGTGGTGGAGTCTGTCTTGCTTATTTTTCACGTTTTTCTCAATTCTTTTCCTCAATTCATTCGTCGTTTTTACAATAACCACACTATCGCACCAAGTTGGTGACTTGGTTTTACAAAGTAACAATACAATCTAATCCCTCTGGCAGACAATGCACATAATGATCATTAACTTGAACATCTCTCCAACTTTTATTCTGGGCTACATGAAATGAAGTCTTAAAGTATCCATTTTATTCCAAATTCATGGGTGTGAGAGGATTTCTTGGCAATTGTGGTGGTACAGAAAATGGTTGTTTCCGTTCCAGTTCGCCTCGCCTTATTCTGCTCGCTGATCTCAATTCTTTAACTAGCTCATCAATGGAATGCGTCCTCAATGCTTCAATGGATGCCATACTTGGGATATCAATTTTGTTCATGGGTGTTGTTGTAGTTGCATGATCAACCTGTTTGGTACATGATTTGAAGTTAGCGGCTTTGAACTTGATTGTTTCTATATGCATAATGCCAGCTTGATAACGAATCTAAAGTCGACTATGATGAAGCTTTGGCTTGAACATGTTCTCAGAGATACAGAATGTACCGATGCCATGCAAACTAGGTAAGTTATAATAGGAGTATATAAGGAGTTCGTGTGCGTACTGTTTAATAGTTGCAATGACAATGAAGTTGAAACTACGCAAAATCAATTGAGGAAGGTAATCAAGAGGTACTTCTTGGTGGCAGTTCATTCAAATGAGACTAGCTTAAAGGGGAAAGAATCGAAAAGTATACCAGATACTCTTTTACAGGGCATCTTTCTGCCAAACTTCTGATGTCCATTACTTTTTCAGTGTGGTCACCCTGCAGTGTTTGTAAATGGCCGAAGCAAATGGCTGATACGGACCCTAATTCTCTTGTAGCTTCATGATCCACTGAAAGTGCATCTGACAAGAAGAACATAGACAGATTATACACAAATTCCGTAGTTGGTAGAGGGGAAAAAGAAAGGCAGAAAAATCAAGTTAAAAACAGCATATTACCGTCTGCAGTTCTCAGCACATCACGTGTTGATGCTGAACCTTCATATCAGTCAAAGGTAGACATAGATACAAGTCCTACCAAATTGCTGTTCTCTTGATTTCTTGGTCTATTTGAAACAAAAAATAATATGGAACCAAGTAGAATTATATAAGTCAGCAGAACTAACTCAACTTTTAAATGGATACAAGCTATCTTTGTAAGATATCCTATAACATTATGAAAAAAGTTTAAAATCACAGAGGACGAACTTATTCCATGGAAGACTTAATTTCTGCAGCATAATCTTTATTTAACTGGTCTACTAATTTAGCATTCTCCAAATGTTCGGTAGGCTGACATACTTTCTTGGAACTGCTCACAAAACAAACACAGTCATCATGAGGACTTAAAAAAATACTACAATTGAAGTAAAAACCATGTAAGAAAACTGAAAATTTACACAAAATATTTGCAACTTTGCAAGCACATACCAAGTGTGGAGGATATTTTCCATTGTCACCCTTGCCTCAGAAGCGGAAAATGCATCTTCCTGAAATTGCCTTTCTACTCTTTCTATAAGTGTGTTCCACTCATTTTTAGCTTTGTCTGAAATGATCTGTTTCTTCCTGTAAACTCTTTTTTGCATGAAGGCTTGTGTGTCAGTCATACTTCTCACAGCCTCCACGACCTGTTCGTCATATAAGAATAATTATGAGTAAATTGAAATGAAAACTATCAAACAAATTAGAGTTTGTGGCCGTCAAGTCTGCTAATATTGCAGCAATCCTCTCTTGGGCTACTCTTTCTTCTCTGGTAGATAGTTCCTGGAAGAGCAAATTGGCTAGAATAAGTTTGTTGCATCATATAACTGAGTGGCATCAATGCCATCTGTAGTTAAGTTCCAACCTCGAATCTCTTCTCAAAGTAATCTAACTGGCATGATGTTCGCATTTGATTTTCCTCAGAAACTGCAATAAGTTTAGAAGCCAGACTCTGCGGATCGTTAAAGAAATCCAGTGTTATCTTTGAGCTTGTGTTGAGACAAAGCTCCTCTGCAGTCCCTGTAACAAAATTTTCCATCTTTTGTAAATTATTTGTGAGGGTGAAAGAGGACAAATATCTAGCCAAATTTATCAGAAACAAAAGCTAATTGTTTCATGCCCTGAGCTCCTGAAGTACAAATATCTCTGCATTAATGTGCACATCAATGAATGAGCTGACGTGCTGCTCTATGGATATCAATATTTGGTGCTGTTCACAAACAGATCCAATCAGAGTTTTGGGTATGGATTTTAGACTCTGATCAAGCTGAGAACCAAAAGACATAATCAACCTTTGTTTCCTGTTTCAGTAGTTGCTTTCCGCTCTACAAAAGAACTTCATCCATTGGATCCGACAAGATTAGAGAACATGCCAGATATTGTTCTAAGCAGATAATTTTTTTACCTATCTAAAAGACAACATGAATGTCAAAACTTTTGAGTTCCTATATTATTGTTTCCATTCCTTCCTGAGCGGTTTTTCGAATAATAAAGGATAAAAATCATTAGCGGACAACAAGTGGGCTCTGTCCTCCAATCTAAATAAACTAGCAAATAACACTAGCGCAATGCGGGGAAGAAGAGAGGAATTTAATTAAACGCTATTTAAATAAATGAAAAACAAATTCCTCTGAAATGATTTCACTTTGATGATCATACTCCCTTTAAAAGTACGAGTTCAGAAAAATCTTTTTATGGTCGATATTATCCTTAACTATTTTAAATATTTTATTTTAATTTTTAATCTATCCTAATCATTATTATATCATATCTTAATCATAGTTTTATAGAGCAGTTTAGAATGCTATTTTTTGAAGTGTTTTTTATTTTTACAACGATATACTTTCTCAAGTCAAGCTTGGTTTCATGTCGGTCTCAATAATATGATAATTCAAATTGATTTCGGATTACATTTATTTCCTATCAATTTAATTATCATTATGGAAAATCTAAATTGGGCGTAGCTCATTTAAACAAGCATCAAAGAAAATAAATAATCATAATGCTAAAGTTTAAAGATAAGTAAGCAAAAATCATCAAAATGGAACTGAGGGACAAATTTTAGTAAGGAAATAAAATAAATATAGTTAATCATGGTATTTAACCACGTGCTTTGCACGAGCATAAAACCTAGTAGTTATAAAATAGTGAAAGCAAATTTGACATTATGCACACAACGAATAGCATTTAACAGTTCTACTACTATGTATAATAATTTGCAGCAAAGCTTATATGTTACCTAAAAACTTATGTACATAGACTGGTTTTGTTGAAAGCTAATTATAGATGCATAGCCACTCTCCCCATCAAACAATGTTGGGCGTAAATGCGATCCTATGCTTAGAGATTAATAGTCTTCCTTGTCCTGGCAATCATCTGAGGTCCAATTCTTCTGCCCTTGGGATGAGGAGAGACAACCAAGACCATCAACACACCCTCCCCTCACCCCCTCCCATCAAACAGGGAGCTCAAATTTTGCCACAACTTTTCCCAATATACCCTCAGGACCCCAGTTCACAATTGGGCAGCAGTTGCAGAACAAAAGCTTATAGATAGGATAAAATGGGAAGAAAAATATAAGTCCATACAGCTTTTATACAATTATTATTAGGTAATATTGCCTCCACATCAACAATACATATACTTAAGCTAAGTATAAAACACACCTAAAAATAGTCTAGCAAAATTACTGTAGTTCATGAATATGAGATGCCACATGACCCTTCTGGGTAACAATTCACCGACACCAAAATAACAGGGAGTGTGCATATCTACAAACAAATGCAAGCATGCACAAATAACCTTGCATATGTTGATGTGTATACATGAATGTGAGTGCATGCATCCAGTTTGCCCTGTAACTTGAACCTGAAAAGCTGAATGTTAGCATGAAGTTATCTTAGCCAGACTAGACAATAACAGAGGGTTCTATGCAAATACTGCATCATGTTCATACAGAGGAATCAAGTATGTGCACGTCTAGGTACAAACATACAGCAACTCTGTAATTATCAACACAAGTACAACTCATAGTTCTGGAAAGGAAAAGAAAGGAACAGAGATTCTGAACGCTAGTGTTCAAGGTTTAGCTCTTAGCTTCCTGTAATAGAGATGAATATATCTCATTCTCAATCATAATGACAAACTTCATGTCTAAGGTATATGCCTGCAAAAAATCATGCATATCATGGGTTGAAATTTTCATGTAGAACAAGTATAACACGCTTAAGATGACAACAAGCTTGAAATTTCACCTTCTCTAAAAGGGTTAAAGAGTTCCCAAATTAGCACCAAAGTTCCTGATAAGTATCAAGCAAGTAGAATAAGAGAAACCCTTTTGAATCCAACTCGAGCTCTGAAGTTTGAACATTTGAATTTGATTCTTTCGCATTTTCATCACCAAATTCTATTGCACTGAACAAATTCTAACGCGCTTCGAAATTTATCACAGCGTTAAGAGAAAATGAATAACATTTTATTCAAATCCTTGAGCCAAACAAATTAATAACAGTTTAAATTCCAATCTAACCATATTCTTAAAATTTAAATCCAAATTCTAATCGTAAACAAATTAAGGAATAACACCTTTAAATTTTGAATCTCACAAATACTACTTTGTTCGACTATAACTTATGGATACATGGGTAGATGTGGCTTTGTACTGGTTCGGTATGTTTTTTGTGTAAATTTGATCAATGATCCTTTCTTTCAGGTACGGGCGCTGTGAACGCGTTTATAGTGGTGGGGACCACCCACGTGAAAGGCTTCAAGGCCCACCCGATCAAAATCGTTTGTGCATATAAATGCACCTAGGTTTTTTGTGAAATAGGCATGCAAGGAGGCTTCGCTGCAGGAAAGGTGCAATTGTGCGGCTGCGGCAGAGAGCAAAGTGCAGGAGATTTGATTTTGTGATTTTTGGTTTTGAGCAGCCCCCTTTATTTAGGGTTTGTGCATCTCTTTGAGTGAGTATTTGTATGAGGGATTTGAGAGTTTGTTTGAGGGTTTAGATTGAGTGTTTGTGCATCTCTTTGAGTGAGTATTTGTATGAGGGATTTGAGAGTTTGTTTGAGGGTTTAGATTGAGTGATTGTAAACCCTAGTTGTCTTCTCTCCCTCTAATAGTAGATCTCCCCCTCCTTGCCCCGTGGACGTAGGCAATTTGCCGAACCACGTAAAAATTAGTTGTACTTCTATTTGTGTGATTTGTAATAGCTTTTTAGGTTCCCTCGACGCGCAGTCCTAGAGCTGACGAGAGGAAGAGCTAATATCCCACTTTGATGAGATATTAGGCTTTAAATTCTTGTTCCCTTTGAGAAACAAGAATTCTTATTGCGACATGACTCTCTTGTTGTGCTGTCGAAATTTCCGCTGCGCGTAACAAGTGGTATCAGAGCCCAGATTTCAGATCTAGGGTGTTTTGGATTTGGTGGAGGAAGATTTTATGTGAAGCTTGGTTCTTGGAGTTCTAGGCTTCAGTGGAGATAGCATTAGGAGTTACCATTGAAGATTTCGCTTTCTTCGTGTGGATAGGAGATCTATTTGAAATCCGATCTAGGATTCAGTTAGGTGGTTCCTAATTCTGTCAAATTTGTTCTTTCTCCACAATTTGGAGTTAGTTCGCAATGGGAGAAGAAGGTGAAAGTAGCAAATCGATGGCGAGTACAATACAAGTTGGTTTTCAGAACACTAAGATTAGTGTGATGAAGTATGACGGTAAAATCAACTTTGGTTTGTGGATGAGCGACGTACAGGATACGCTCAATGCTCAGAATTTGGAAGAGACCATCATGGTCCACGAGAGGCCACCTAAATATGATGAGGCGATATGGGAGAAGATGAATAGGAATGCTTGTGGGGTGATCAGGTCCTGTTTGGAACAGGAACTGAAATATGATATGATTGGGGTGACGTCTGCAATGAAGATGTGGGAAATTCTCAACAATAAGTATCTCACAAAGAGTGTTGAGAACAGGTTGTACTTGCTGCGAAGACTCTTCAGATTTCAGATGTCCAGAGGCACCTCGCTAGCGGATCATGTGAACAACTATACGAAGTTGTT